ATCGAGGACTTCCAGGACTCGCTACTCCAGGTCTGAGAGAATGAGGACTGAAAGGTCTACATAGAATGAAGCAGCTATCGGCCCACACATTCACACCAAACGACATCTAGGCACACGGAGTTGCCTAGGTTGGCAGACTTGCGGACAGTGTTTGAAGAAAGGGCTCGAAGGGGAGAAGACACTCAGGCTCGCGACCCCCACAGAGTCTCTGCATTACAATGGTTGGCTCCTAGAACACATGGGAGTGTCAAGGTTGGAATGCCAGAGCTGCGTCTTGCCTATGAACCGGCAGATAAAGCGTTAGCAAGGTTGCAGAGCTTGCTGTTCATTCCGGCAATTGAGAACGCACCATTACCCTCCGGCTTCCACTACCCTAAATTCACTATTTATGAGGGAAAGTCGGACCCCTACATACACTTTGAGCCATTTCCGCTAGGTTATGGCGGTGTATCGACGAAACGAGGCTCTAATGTGTATCATATTTCCTTCCAGCCTTGGTGACCTGGGTTTGACATGGTTTGAAAGGTTGCTAGAAGGTAGCATAGCTTCATGGGCGCAACTAGCAGAGACATTTGTGACTAGATTCAGAACAAACACCAAGACACCTGTAGAGATTGACCAACTTTTCTCCATAGATATGGGCGAGAAGGAAACATTGAGGTCTTACAATAACCGGTATTGAGAGACTTTTAATCAGATTGGAGATCGCCCCACAAACCTAGCTATCGCACAGTACAAACAAGGTTTGCCGGCTGGCAATAAGTTGAGAGATTCAATGACAATGACGCTACCCCTTACTATGGAATCCCTGATGGAGAGAGTGCATCAACACATTCGGGTAGAGGAAGATGGGGCGCGCACCTAGGAAGAGTCCGGCACAACAGTGACACTAGACAAAAAGCCTTTGGCGAGAGTTAACACAGTTAACAAGTACGACCGACCGCGCAAAAATCTTTGTTGACTGGGGGGCAATTAAGAAGGTTGGCAGGTTTGACCAACACTTTTTTCTTCCTCAAGCCGAGATAAGGATCTAGGCTCAAGAAGGTTGGCAGGTTTGACCAACATTTTTTTCTTCCTTAAGCCAAGATAAGGATCTAGGCTTAGGAAGGTTGGCAGGTTTGACCAACACTTTTTTCTTCCTCTAGCCGAGATAAAGATCTAGGCTTAGGAAGGTTGGCAGTTTTGACCATACATTTTTTCTTCCTCAAGCCGAGATAAGGATCTAGGCTCAGGAAGGTTGGCAGGTTTGACCAACACATTTTTTCATTCTTCAGCCGAGATAAGGATCTAGGCTCAAGAAGGTTAGCAGGTTTGACCAACACATTTTTTCATTCTTCAGCCGAGATAAGGATCTAGGCTCAAGAAGGTTGGCAGGTTTGACCAACACTTTTTTCTTCCTCAAGTCGAGGTAAGGATCTAGGCTTAGGGAGGTTGGCAGGTTTGACCAACACTTTCCTTTCTTCAGTAGAGATAAAGATCTAGGCTCAAGACGATTTTTCTTCAGCCAATATAAGGATCTAGGCTTAAGAAGATTGGCAGATTTGACCAACAAATTTTTGGCACTCTTTGACCGAGATGACAGTTATCTCGACCAAAGCAGGTTGGCAGGTTTGACAAACAAAATTTTTTGCACTCTTTGGCCAGGATAATAGTTACCTCAGCCAAAGCAGATTGGCAGGTTTGACCAACAAATTTTTGAACTCTTAGGCCGAGATGGTTATCTCAGCCAAGGAAGGTTGGCAGGGTTAGTAAATTGAGTTAGTCTGCTCAGCAAGACACAAAAAGAACGACTCGCCGTACGATTGCGAACTCAAAAGTTATATACATTGAAGGCAAAAATGCGAAGCTATTCAAAGTTTTGGGAGGTACATGATGCCTGTAACAGGAGAACAGGGCTAATAGGGGCACACCATGTGTCCTAGGAATGACGTTGTATCAAACATGCCAGATTAGTGGAAGGACGTGTTGAGCAACTGACAAGACTTGTTGGGACTGAACGAGTTGTGAAACCGAACAACTTCTTTAGTTCGGTAGAGTTAAGCATTTTTAGCTCGGCTAGAGGAAAGTAATCCCAATCATGCTTCGTAGATGGAATTAAGGGGCAATTGAGAGGGTAATTTGTATAGCCAAATTGGGCCGAGCTATGAGGCATTGTTTCTAAATATTGGGTCGCGGTGTGGGCCAAGTTACGAGCTCAGGATAGCTTGATGTGGGAACAATGGGTGATAGGCCGGTCGGTGAGCTCCAGTTGTGATCAGTGGGCGAGCCGAAGTGCTATGTTAGACACATATAAGAAGCCGAGCTAGAGGTAGCCCGGCGAGAGGATTCAAAGCAATTGGTGATCGTGAGGCCCGGTTAGGGTATTTGCGCCAGGTAGCTCGGCTAAGCGTAGCGAGCCAAGCAAAGTGATAACCATCTCACTTAGTTGGCAGTGAGTAAGGTGTTATCAGAATATGCATTATCCTTGGGAATGTAATTCCTAGGAGGACTCTGCTAAGGAGAGTAGAGTCCTACTAGGATTGTGCAAACCATTTCACTTGGTTGGTAGTGAGTAGAGTGTTATCAGGATAAATACTCTTCATTGGGAGTGTGATTCCTAAGAGGACTCTTATAAGGAGAGTTAGAATCCTACTAGGATTGTGCCAGGCAGAATTTATAAAAGCTCATAGCAAGACCTATGTATAGGTATCTCAATTCTTACTCTACAATACACAGAGCTTATTGTCTACTGTCTAGTTGCTGACTTAGGCATCGGAGGGGTTTCCGGCACACACCCGCCGAATAGCTCACGTTTATGTTTTCAGGTGGCAAAGCAACGTTGTTTGGAGGAGTGCAAATTTGATCAACAGGATTATATGAGAAGATTATTTCACTCTCGTATAATTAGCATGTCTTATTTTGTAATTCTACTTATTGATGTCTTTGTTATAGATTTATTTGCAACTAGTCATTCAGTACCTCCGATAGCAAATAATTGGATTCATTTTCATCATCTGTGTGGTACTGGATGAGCGAAAGCATATGCTACTTGTATTCATCAATTTCGTACGCTTGTCAGCCCTGATGTAGTAACTATCAAAACTATCGATATAGATGAATTGTGATAACATGTTTGATTGATGGATGCAAACAATGATTGATTTTATGGATGTTTTCATAGATGTTCGTACACTTGATTTTTTATGAATATTTTTATGGATGGTTTTTATGTATGATTTTATGGATGCGTATTTGATTTATAGATTTTTTTTAAATTTTTTTTTAGTATTATTATTAATTTTTTTTATTTTTTTTATTTTTTTTATTTTTATGGATGCTTGAAGGAGAAAGTAAATATTTCAACGTATAGCGACAAGTGGCTAGACAAATCTATTATAGTTTGGCAACATGATACCAGAGTAATCTAATTTGTATAGCAATGTATCACCGAATAAGCACTTCACAAGTGGCCTCGAATTAATTTCTTGTTATTATCTAATTGAAAGGCAACATATTGTTGGAAAAAAAGAGTTTGTCTAGTAACATGGCACTAGATTAATTCAAATTCATTAGCATTGTATTACCGAACAGACTCAACATAAATTTGAAAATTATTTTTTGGAAGAAAGTGGCTTTGTAAATGTATAGCAACAAAATGCTGAAGAAATATATTTTTTTCGGCAACACAACACCAGAGGAATGTAAATTGTTTAGCACTGTGTAACCGAACATGCACTGCGCTACTGTCTTCCCTTCGCCTTTCTCTTCCCCTTGCTGTGTTTCTCTCTGTTCCCTTATTTTCCCTCAAAAAATATTGGTGTAAAGAAATGAAAGGGTTTTGAAGAGTTGTATTTTAGGATTAGTTTTGGTAATATAATAGGTGTAATGAGAATCATATTTTTTTTAGTGGTGTAATGAGATGGAAGGTGTAAAGAGTTGAAGTAGTGGTTTAAGTAGAATCACTCTTTTTAAATTATGTAAATTTCACTTTGACCCCTTTATATTTGGCTACTTTTCCACTTTGGCCCTTAAAGTTTATTTTTCTCATTTTGGCCTTTCATATTTTTTTTTTCGAGTTTACTCATAAAGCTAATTTTTGTTCAATGTTGGATGGAAAATGTCGCAATAATTGTTACATAACATAAAAATATATTATTATATTGAAATTTGAGTTTGTGTTAGAGGTGTAAGTTATAGGATAAATTACAAATACACCCCTAAAGGTTTGATTAAAATACGAATCGCCCCCTATGGTTTTGGAAATTACATTCCACCCTATGAGGTTTCTAATTTCATAACAAATTGCCTTTTTTATTAATGAATCATCAATTCAATTAACAGTTTTTAAATGTTAGAAATATGTTTCAATTAATAATTTAGGTAATTTTATTATTGTATAAGAGAGCAATTATGAATTTCATTTTTTAGTTAATTCTGTTAAATAAAAAATTCTAACAATGTGGTATTTGTAATTTTTCAAATCACATGGGGCAACCTGTATCTTAAGCAAATCTCAGTGATGTATTTGTAATTTATCCCATCATAAATTAATTTTATGTCATGTGACTTTCAATGTGTCATTTTGTGCCTAATTTTTAACAAAAATTAACTTTAAAAGTAATTGAAAAAAACTTGAAACATGAAAAGCCAAAGAAAGGGGAAAAAAAATTAAGAGCCAAAGTGGAAAAGTGACTAAACATAAAAAGGGCAAAGTGTAATGAGCAATGATACATGTACTTAAAATCTTACTAAAAGCATTTATGTCCAAATTGTGACGCCCCAAATAATCGGGAACATCAATGATATATTAACAAATAATTACAGTTTATTTTATTTTTATATTTAAGTTATAAGCGTAGGAAATGTCACTAAGTCATTTGGTTAATAACCAAGTAAGATTCCAGGAAGTCGGATGAGTCAATATAGCTTCCTGTTTAAGTCCAACAACCTTAGATTGCAAGTTATTTTTCTGACAGAACTTAAGAGATATTAACACAAGGTCTCATGAGTAACGCGAGATAGGTATAGGATCACAAAAATATTCATATGCATATAAGCAAATAATATTACAGAGTTACAAATTTTTATTACAAAACAAGGTTATATCATTATTACAATCCCAACAGAAAATGAAAATACAAATGGACTTATAACAAAGCAAATTCTAACTTTTTTATATCAGCCAGAAATCTTCAAATGTCTCTGGTTGCTCGTTGGTTACGAAAGTTTCTTCAATACCTGACATGAAATGCCATGAGTTTGGAATGTCCAGTAAACACACACCCCATCCCCTTTTCCCAGTCCAATACACTTACAAAAATACAACTGAATAATTAAACATGATGAACAATAAGCAGGTAATTAATTAGAGTCATAAGGTTATATGTTAGAATCTAGAAATCCCTCAAAGTGATTTCATCCTCCCAACTACAAGAATTGGACTCAAATTATTTGGTATGCCCCTTCTTTTACTGATTTGTAGACCTTACCTCGGATACCTACAACGGTTATGTACCGCGTAGTGTAAACCTAGGACTCAAAAGAGATGGTAAAAATAAGGGCCTTGTCCATAACCTCCTCCAACCTTATCCATCATAAACACCTAAGGTCCAAATACAACCGATCCATTAAGGGTTTTGAAACAACCACTTGCGCAAGATTATCCTTCAAAATTTTCGGAACACGTCCCACCAACCATTTCAATTCAAACACATCAGTTTCTCATAATATCATCCAAGTGATCGAAACCCAATTACCACCCCAATTAAGTTTCCCATCTATTAAGTCCATTATGTTCTCGGTTAGAGCATAGCATGGTTAAAAAAAATATATATATATAAATCTCAACTAAATATGCATGGTAAAACAAATCCACAATTTGTCATAGACTACATATTAAAACTTAAACATTCAGGAAACATAGCATATAAGAGTTGCAACCAAATACGAGCGCACTTAACACAATTTTCCATATTTGAATCGGTTTGAAAATAATTATCAAAAAAATACTTTTATTGATCCTAAATACTTGGCCTCATGTGAGTTTGAACGTAAATGAGTCTAGTTTCAAAACCAAATTAGCAAAGTAGGATAGGTATTTTAGATTTTAAGATAATTTAGAATTAGCAAAATCTGTCCAGATTTGTTGGCTGTTACAAAAATTGGTGTTTCTCTCAAACCACTCACTCAATCGGGTTCAAACAAATTTTAATCGGTAATTAACTTCCAAATTAAGTTTTTGACATAAAAGTGGACTCAAGATTATTTTTCTATAATTTTCTAAAAATAGAGAAAGTTGACTATTTTTCTGGTGCTGTGAGCAACAAACTTAGAAAAATTATTTAGGTCACAAAAATACATCCTTAGGTCCTACTAGAATGATCACATACTCTAGACATACCAACTAGTGTGCCATAGAAACTGATTTTTATTTTATGGAGTTTTGACAAGAAAATAAATTTAAGAAGGGAAATGAAATGGCTGCTGAAAATTTAGGAATGAAAGAGAAGCACACTATTTCTTGATTAATACACTTTTATACAAGAGTGTAGGCGAGTACATTATATATATATAGATAATATATACTAGGAGGGGAAAAACAAGTTGTGAAAGAACTTGACAGAAGAGGTGATGGAGGTTTACCTTGCTAGCTTCCAATTTCTTTTTCTTTGACTCACTCTTCTACTTCTCTTCTTTTGTAAAAAAATAAAAAAAAAAAAAAAATGCTAAACTTACACTCTAAACACTCTCAAACTAAACTCAAAGTCTGATAATAATTAATGAGCAAGAGAGAAAGAGAGACAAAACAAAGAATGAAGGAATAAATGCATGAATGGGAGAGGAGTCCTTTATTCTGCTGATTTATAGGAGAAAAGATAAAATAAAATATGTATAGTATCATATGAAATTATTGGGGATCGTGGAGTCAAAAGTGAAAAGAGGGAAAGCAAAGATAGGAATTGGTGAGAACGTGCGTTTGTATAGAGGGATAAGGTAAATAAATAGATAAAATAACTAAACAATTAAAGAGCGATAAGGTAAATAAATAGATAAAATAACTAAATAATTAAAGGGAAAGGAGGAGTGGTTGGTAGCCTCATTGGCTTGTCGGCCCTTTATTATTATTATTATTTAAATTGAAGATATGAAAAAAATGATGTAAAAGTAAAATAAATAAATAAATAAATAAATAAAAGAATTGAAAAGATGGTGCAGTACCATAGCGGCCACGTCTTTCGTACATATATATTTTTCTTTTCTTTTCTTTCTCTTTTTATTTCCACCGAAAGAATGATTGGAAAGGATGAGAAATGTAAGCAATTTATTTTCAAAAAGAGATGAATAGTAATGAGGTAGATATGGAAGAGATACAAACAAATAAATTAGGTTCTCATCTAAAAATCTCACCATCATATTATTATAATAAATCCTCAATATCTTTCACTAAAATATTAATACCTCAAAATATGGGGTTTTACAATCTATCCCCTTAAATAAATTTCATACTCAAAATTTAAACTATACATTGTTTTCAAACAACTGCTGGTAGTTTACCCTTATCAAGTCTTCGCGTTCCTAGGTAAATTCTTCGATCCCTCGATGTCACCAAAGTACCTTTTATTAAATAGACCGTCTTGCCTTTAAGGTTTTTCTGTCATTTGTCTTGAATCACTACAGGCCCTTCTTCAAAAGTAACATTCTTATCAAGACTAATTTCCTCTCAACTGATGACATGTGACGGATCGACGAGGTACTTTCGTAGCATAGACACGTGAAAGATATCGTGTATTCCGGCCAATTGTGGGGGTAAGGCTAGTCAGTATGCAACTTCTTTAACTAGTTGTAATACTTCGAAGGGTTCGATATATCGAGGCGAGAGCTTCCCTCTTTTCCCAAAATGTATAATCCCTCGTTGAGGTTGAATATTCAAAAACACATGGTCACCGACCTCGAACATTAGAGGTCTTTTTCTTATATCCATATAACTCTTTTGGCGATCCTGACATGTCTTTATTCGTTATCGGATAAGTTTGATTTTCTTGGTAGTCTCTAGAACAAGTTCTGGTCCACTAAACCTGCTTCATTGACTTCAGTCCAACAGATCAGTGATCGGTAAGGTCACCCATACAATGCTTCAAAAGGTGCCATACGGATACTGGCTTGGAAACTGTTATTGTAAGAGAATTCAATCAATGGAAGGTGTCTTTTCCGACTTCCTTGAAAATCCATTGCACAAGCTCTGAACATGTCTTCAAGTGATTGGATGGTTTGTTCAAATTGCCCATCTGTCTGTGAATGAAAGGTAGTGCTGAAACACAACTTGGTGCCCAGGGCTTCTTGTAGACTTCTTCAAAATCGGGACGTGAAACGGGGTCCCGGTCTAACACAATAGTTATTGGGATTTCGTGTAATCGAATGGTCTCTTGAATATAGAGGTTGCACAAGGACTCCAAGGTGTGGGTTATCTTATAGGCTAGAAAATGTGCGATTTTTGTCAGAGGGTCCACTATAACCCAGATAGCATCACTACCCCTTGTGTTTTGGTAACCTGGTCACAAAATCTATCGTCACATGTTTCCACTTCTATTAAGCTATTGGAAGAGGTTGCAGCATTTCTCCTGGTTTCTAATGTTCCGCTTTCAATTGTTGGCATGTAGGCATCTTGCAGCAAATTAAGCCATATCCTTCTTCATACCACTCCACCAATACTGCCGCTTCAAGTCTTGGAACATTTTAGTCCCTCCTAGATGTACCGCAAATGTAGAGTGATAAAATTCTAAAATAGTTTTGGTCAAAATGGGGTGTAAGGCTAGGATTAGAAGCTAAAAAATTGAAGCCTTTTGCTAAAGAACTTGAGCGGTTGTATAGCGTAGCATTTCATCATCGAGTGTTCAACCTGAGGTGCCTAAGTCTTAAGGGCAGTCAAAAATGGGGTGTCTACAGTAAGCTAAAACCCAATCGAGATACTTGAACACAACGTATGAAGCTTAACAAAGTCATAAGGTGAATGCATATGCATGTCATTTGCCAAACATTATACTTTTCCATCTCAAAACAATGCAATACCAATATTATATATCAATTCATAAAAACATATATATATATATATATATATGTATATACTTTTATATTAGAAAACAAGGTAGTGGATGTAAAACACTGGGAATCTCTAACTATATGTTTGTTTGTAGGCTGGCTATACAAGCATTACCAAAGCCATTTTACTGATACTAATTGGAAGGATCGGCACCTAACCACATGGGTTTCTAGACTTTCACCAAGGACACATAGACCAATATAATAAACCACAACTACAACCCCTCACTAGATTCACCAAGGTATAAACTCATTTTTCTAAAAACAATATATTTTCTCAAAACAATATATTTTCAATGTTTAAGTATGAACAATGCTCAATGCAAGATATATGAGTAATTAGTTTCAATTAACCAAATCCTCATACAATTTCTACAACAATTAAAACTATTCTCCACCGATAGCCTAAAAAAGGTATCTCTACTCAACAGATAATTTTCCAACAACAGATATAATCTCACAAATTTTGAAATGAAAGTGATAATATATATCAACTCCACTCTCATTATCAACAGATACATCCATCTTATATTTTCAAATCCAATATCTTTTCCTTTTCTTTTTTTTTCATAAATCAAACATCAATGAATTTCTAATAAAACATTCTTTACTTTCAAAATCACGTTTAAGGAATGAATTCCCAACACTTTAACATAATTCAACAATATTTACACTCCCACAACCTTTCCCAAGAATCCATTTGAAAAGCCCTTTTTTTACATTTCAAAATCAAACTCTAGATTTAAACCCAAAATCTCCAAATCACTAAACATTTTAAATGACAAATAACCAAGTTAAGAATCATACTAAATGTTGAAGAAATCCCTACCTCAAGAGTAGAAGAAGAAGAAGAAGAGAGCAAGAGTAAAAGTTTGACGAAGCTGAAAATAAGATTTTCTCCAATTAAAACAAAGTTTTCCATGAGCTCTACCTTTTTCTCCAAGGACAAAACATCGCTCCCTTTCAGCGACAAAACATCGCTCGAGTGCACAATGAACCCCTCTTAGAAGTTCAAACTTGCAAAAGCTCGAGCGAAGATCACCCTACTCCCATAAATTTTACAGACCTGCAAAAATACTAAGAGATCTCAAAGACCACTCGAGCGACCAAAGCATCGCTCGAGCAAACAAGAAATGAAACAGACAACAACACTTTTGAAAAGGGAACTCCCAACGTGTTTCAAACACAACCAACAAGTCTAAACAGCCAAACTCAACTGACAACAAGAGGATAAGGGTATAAACAACAATTAAAGGTACGAAATCTCGGATCTAAGAGCATGAAAAGGGTCGGGTCTAAATCGGAACCGTTATACTATACAAATTTACTTCTATTGCACCATATTTTAGAGCATGTAGCATATTATGTTCCGATTATCCATGTTCTAGGTAACATAAGATTTGACTAAATTAGAGCGGTTTTAGTAACATTAGGTCTACTGATGCATGTGCTCTTTCTTTTTTCTTTTCCTGTAATGCTAGCTTGTGACGCATTTCAAAAGTGATTACTGCAAGACAATTTTGCACTGTCAATCATTTGGACTAATTATCAGCTTTATTTTGCTTTGGTACATCCTTGCATACTCTAAGTTGTCTTGCTTGTGGAGAGTATATGCTGACTGTCACTTTGCACGATTGATAGTTTGAAGAGGCCAAGGATCTGAACCAAGTTTTATCTAACTCCTATTTGGGAAGCTTCTGCAACAAATGAAACTTTATTATCTAATCTTCTAAGTAGCAAGATAATAAAGCGCAAGCGTAGTGGTAGGAAACGCAAACCAAAAATGATCCCAATGGTGGGTGAAAGGAGGGATTTCTAAATACAGTCACTCTAAATACTCATGATGTCTCTTTTCTGGATGATTATGACAATGCTAAATTGTACTCAATAATGGAGACTGACGCACCACAGAATGGCAGCAAGGAGAGGCAGCAAACAGGTTTACAAAAATTAATTGTAGTCGATGTGACAATGGTAGATAGTGTGAACTCATTTCCTGAAAAGAATATTTGTTGTTTCAGCTAATCTGTCCAAGAATGCTAGGAGCAAAATGACTAAATCGTCACGGGGCCTTGCTGCTTCAAGTATAAAGCCAAGTAGTAATACAAGAATGGAGACTGAAGCACCACAGAACCGCAACAATGAGAGCAGGCAGCCCACAGGTTACCAAAAATTAGTAGTCAATGTGACAATGGTAGATAGCTAAGAAGCACGGGACACCGGACATGACACAGACATGTGGACACGTAAATTTTCAAAAAATGTAGGATTCGACACTTAGGGACATGTTCAAAACATATATTTTTATATTTTTATTATATGTATATTTTTAAATATTTAATATATATTTTATTTATTTTTATTGAATTTATCAACTTTAGATATGCTATTTTAGTATTAAAAAAAATTAAAAATTAATTTTTTTTTTTTTTTTTTGAAAAAAATAGTACTCAATCCCTAGTGTGTCCTCAACATGTCCCGTGCGTGTCCTTAGCGTGTCCCAACGTGTCCAAAGTGTTCTAGTGTGTCCAGCTCTTTCTAGCGTGTCCATGTCCATGTGTGACACGTGTCGGACACCTATATGCGACCTCCGGAGAGGTGTCTGTGCTTCATAGGTAGATAGTAAGTATGAACTTATTTTCTGAAATGAACATTGTTGTTTCAGCTAAT